TATCTTTGAAAAGTAGATAATATTAGTACTTACCTGGGTAAGACCTGTAAACACTTAGAACTGTACGTGGCACATAGTAACGTCTCTGTAAATGTTAGCTATTTTTGTCATTTTGAGAAAGGGCTTTGAAGGCTTTCAAGTGCTCTGCTGAATTGGAGGTGCTGTTTTTATTATTGTTGTCTAATTATTATAATGGTTGTTGAAATCTGAAATGTCCCTTGAGGAGTAGCAACATGATGAGAACAACAGCCCTCATTTATTGAATGTTCACAAGGTACCACGGCTTTCTCCACATCGGGGTTTTCCAGACTTCTGAGCCTGCATCCTGGGGTAAAATCAGGTCCTGACGGTCTCTTGCCAGTCCCTGGCAGGGCAGCCAACTCAGGTTCTGGAATCTTTACAGGTTTGCAGTTGAGAAGTGTTGCTCCGGGGTCATGACCTTGAGCCCAGCTGTGTCTTCTCACCAGCTTCCCTTGTGGGTTTCAGAATGATGTCATTGCTGATGAGTATGCTGTGGACATGGTGGGGAACCTGCTCTGCCATTTGCCGGCCGCCATCATTGACCGTGGGATCGCCCCCAGGGCTTGGGCCACTGCCCTGCATGGCCTCAGAGACTGCACAGACCTCAGCTCAGAACAGAAGGCTGCGGTGCGGCGTCGACTCCTAGAGCAGCGTGGGTGAGGACTGGGGCTTGGCTTTGACGGTGTGGCTGTCATGGGTGAACGGGCAAGTGGCCTTGGCTCACCTTCTCTCAGACCAAAGTGAGACAGTTAGGTCTATTTTTTTGACTTCAGACTTCCTGTGAAATGAGAGTTGTAGTAGGTATTTTGCTGGCCTCGCACAGGACACCAAGACACCATGACATAATGGATGGGAAAGAGGTTTGAAAAAATGGTACTTTACAAATATACTAAAACTAAAACCACACCCGCTGCTGTTGACTCCTACTCACAGGTACCTTATAGGACAGGGTAGAACTGCCCCAGAGGGTTTCTAAGTCTGCAAATCTTTACAGAAGCAGACTGTCTGATTTTTCTCCTGTGGAATGGCTGTTGGGTTTGAACCTTTGACCTTTTGATTAGCAGTCAGATGCCTTAACTACTGTGCCATCAGAGCTTGACAAATGTTGTTGTTAGATGCTGTCAAATTGGCTCCCACTCAAAGCATAATAAAGACTGAAGAAGAGTTGATGCTTTGGAATTGTGGTGTTGGTGAAGGATACCGATAATACCATGGACTGCCAGAAGAATGCGTAAATCTGCCCTGGAAGAAGTGCAGCTGAGATGCTCCTTGGAAGTGAGAATGGCCAGACTTTGTCTCACCTCCTTTGGCCATGTTGTCAGAG